AACCTCCCTGAACAGATTCACATTCCCACTGACTACTCTTTTTAGCAGTGCGGATCTATCCCCTTTCCAAAGGTTTCCTTTTCTCCATTTCAGGGCGGCCTTTCTGTGTGCCTTGACACGGATGCGTGCCCTTAGAAACCACACGACACTGGTCTCTGTGTTTGTGTCCATAACGTCGGTTGCTGGATACAGAGTTCTGGACCATTCTGCAGCTTGCTCACCAACGTGGGTAGGGGATGGATCCAGGGCTGGGCATGTAGACCCACCTCTTGTTAAACTGCTACACGGTTGAAAGTCCTGTAGAGCGCCCCGTGCCCTCAGTTCCCTGCCTAGTTCCCTGCCTAGTTCCCTAGTGCCCTAAGTTACCTGCCTAGTTCTGGTGTAGAGCACCGCCTTGGAAACGGCTGCACCCTGCGCTGCAGCCTGTAACCGCTGAAGGCGTTGCATGAAGTACCTGACCTCCCGGGGTCCAGGGTGGATAATATTTACAATGTTACTGGAGAAACTCCTGCGGCTGATCTGCATGCCTGCCTGTGGCCCGGTGCGCGCCCCACTGCTGTCTACTGCGCAAGTGGTAACAGCAATGACAGTGGTAAACCCACTCATGAGAAGCCACCCACGCAAGCCCTTTGTGTGTCTGGTCCCACTCGGTTCTTGCAACATCCCTGGAGGAGGGGCAGGCGGTGGAGGGAGCTGTTACCATCGTTAGCGACTTCACAGGGGTAACCGAGGCCCAGAGAGGTCCCAGTGAGGCGTGGAGACCGGCGGACCTTCGAACCTTGGTGTTAGGGCCTGTCTTGTGTTAGGGAACTCCGGGAAGCGCACCTAACTACCCCGAGGGCCTTGCGGGTTTGCAAAGGTTTGTTGATTGTGATGGAAATAAATTTGGCTTTTTGGGGGGCAGAGGAGGGGCGCTTGCTGCTTGACTTTATATTTCTCCAGTTCTTTTGTTACATGGATTACACCGGAGCTGTCTCCCCCCGTCGGGATTTAAAGGAGTGGGAAACTCTGCGTCCAAGTTCCGGCCGCGAGTCTCGAACCCCGTCGCCGTGCCACCCCGGCCTGGTGCTGATGTTGTGCTAGGTCTCACGTACTCAGTTGCAGCCTGATAACCGGGGCGGGGCCCGGGCCCTGATTGGCATTCGCCTCAGCCAGTCCGCGCCTCGGGCTCACCCCGTAAGCCAATGCTCACTTGCCCCGGTGCGGTCGTTGGGCGGTCCCCGAGGCGCCCTTGTCAATCCGAGGCCCAGCCACCGTCGGGTTGGTGGCTGCTGCCTTGACTGGCGTGCACCGCTTCCAATGAAAACGGAGCCGGTCAGCGGGCACGTGGGTGGGCGCCGGCGTGTCCCGTCCGGCCAGCCAATGGGGAGACGAGGCCGGGGCCTGCACCCGCCCAATCGAGGCGCGCGGGGGGCGGGTCGTGCGATGTTGATGGGCCCGGCGGAGGGGAGGGGCGGAGCTGTCAGCGACAGCCAATGGGCGCGCGGGCGTGGGCTCGGGGCCCAATGGCAGCCAGGGCGGAGCTGGCGCGCGGCCTCATAAGCCCCGCCCGGGGCGCTCGCGGAGGGCTCGGCCGCCAGCGACCGAGCGGGGCCCGGCCCGAGCGGGGCCTGGGGGTGCGACGCCGAGGGCGGGGGAGCGCGCGCCGCTGCTCCGGAC